GGAAAACAGAGAAACAAGCGGGAAAAGATCCCTCTACCCTTCCTATGACCCTAGTATAAATACTTCATTTTAGGTGAAGAGGGAACTAGCATACGATATGCTTCATTTGCATCATTTTGCTTGCAAGAGATCAATCTTATAGAGGAAGGCCTACGTTTCACTTACCGGAGCACAAAAATCCGCCACTTTTTGGAAACCTACCAACATGGATAAGGCCGTGAAATATACATCACGTTCGAATCCTTCTTCATCTAAGCATCCGGTTAGTTAAAGTTGCATCCGATCCATTATATTTAAGTTTTTGTGCTACTTAATTCTTATACGAGTATACGACTGTATTCTCTGTTTGCAGTCACCGGCGAAATATGTATCTCCGGCGAAGAGTGCCAGACTTGAGGAGGTTATACTCGCCCCATCAACGCCTGGAACTGACGTCATCATTATTCCCAACGACGACGAACCAGAGGTGATCTAAGAGCCTAATGGAAAAGGCAAAGGCCAGACTGGATTAAACAAGGATGTAGAGAGCATGGTAATCATGATTTCTTTATGTCTAGACCACAACGTTTTCATTTGTAGAGATATTCATCCAATTATCCTTGTTTTCACAGGCCGTTCTGAAATTCAAGCTACTTGTGAATGCTGATTACAATGACGAGGAGGTCAACGTAGCACATTATATTTTTCTATCCAGTATTCCACGGGACGAGATCTTGGTACAAACCTTCCACAACACGTTGACCAGGAAGGTTTTGTGGACCTTACGTTCCCACACGTTTGTGGATGGTGAGGTAAGTTATTATGTGAGCAACAACATTTGCTAATTCGTTTGTACCATTTAAGTAGGAAATTAATTGTTTATTCTCTGTAGTGTCATAGATTATTACGGTTGTGTCTGCTCTCTCAACCGTGGAACAAGTGTTGTTGGATGGGGATCGAAGAAAAGGAATATGCTTATTGCCAGCTGACCTTCAGGTACAATAGGAGTAATGTTGTAATGGTTACCTATGACTGTCCACTTTCGGTCTACTTGGTTAGATTTTGGGTATGCTTTGCATACGTTCTGGTGTTATTTCTCTGCCTTCTGGCTTACAACCTATTTGCTGTGAATTTAATACAACTTCCATCTGACTTTGAGACATGTTAATTATTTTACGTATGAGTAGGAGCATGCTACCTTTTGTGGATTGACACCGAAGAAGGCGTTAGAGTTGTATGACACTACCTTCTAGTCTTGAGCAGACATGAGCGAGAAGGTGGTTTCTTTTTTATCCCTTGATCTCCGCTGAATGCCTAGTGTACCAATATGTATTGGTTGAATTAAGCATTGAATGTTTGGTCATGTGTAGATACTTCTTCCGATGAGGGAAAGGTTGTCTGGTGGGAGGCTGCACTGGTATCTAGCTGCCATTTTCATCAAGGAGCAAGAAGTCCACATCCTAGATCCAAGTTAATCTGCGGAGCTGAAGGCAGTACGTCAGAGAGTTCTCCAAAGAATGGTAGAGTTATAAATTTGTGTTAGGTTCTTATGAAATCATCCATCTGTGTCCGTGTTTTTCATTACCAGTGTTTCTTCAATCGTGCATATGGTCTTTTTGGAAAGCCCGTGGCAGGTTCTGTACCTTGAATGCAAAAACACACGTGAGTCGTCGAGATTTCTAGATTATACGTACACATGGCCTTCTTGCCAAGAACAAATGGATGAGTAAGAATGTTTCTTTTTGTGTCATTTCAAAGGCGTGCTTATGAAATAGGTTATAATGTAATGAATTTCATATTTTGTAGGTCTGATAGTGGGGTGTGGGTGTCCCTGTTGATTATGGATACAAGACTGGATAACTATTTCTTATGGGTGAGCCTCATGCTACTGTTCTTATTCGATGCAAGCAACGACAACATTTTGTAAAATTAAATCTTCATTGTATTGTTTACTCGGTTTTAATATGAATTGTTTGATGTTCGTACAACCATGTACCCCGGTGAGGTGAATGGAACTGGCGCTATTTCTTGTACGACATCCCATGCACATGTTGAGATGCAAGGTGGTGCAGGAAGCCAAAAAAACTAGCACCTAAACTTGGAGCTCCCACACTCGAGTACAAGGAAGCTCATCAAAGGAGACAGGAAGAAAGAGGGAACTTGGACTTGAAGGATTGAAGTTTTGAATATGATTAGTTAGTTGCCTTGGTTTATCGTTTAGCTTAATACAATTTTGTTTTTTTTTCGTAAGATCAATCGTCTTTTTATGCTTGGATTTTGGTTTATATATATTAGCTGGTTTTGTTTATGAACTATTTGAGTCTTTTATTGCATTGACTTATGTACATGATCCCATAATTGAGTAGTTTACCACATCATCCTTAGTGAAGTGTTAATTATGTTATGTAGTCATTGCTTTCTCACTTGGTAGTTGGAACGGTGAAAGAAAAACAACAATTATGCATCATTATTTCGACGAAAAATAAAATGCTAGTTAACGTAACCATAAAAATGGCCAATTTCTACTCACCCCAATGCCCAAAGTCTACAGACCAACTCAGTAAAATTTAAAAGTCATCAAAATTACATATTTAATCGGTTTGTATTTGTAAGTAATCTCATGGTCCCAATGGCTTTTTTATTTTTGGCATGCTTCGCAAACATTGTGGCATGCTTCACGAACATTGTGGTCTGCATTCTAGTATTTCAGGTACGGTTATATTGCTAATAGATTGCATTCAAATATTCAGCCGCTAGCCCACTACACACTAGTAATGCACCAATCACTTTGGCCCAAAATGGGCCTATCCTCGTTTGAAGTACATCGGCTCTTTGGTGGAACTCTGATGGGTTTTAAGTTTTGGAAGGAAACAATCATCAATTCCGTAATTTTAACCCATTCCGCACTGTTAATTACGTATGGAAACTATTAAATATTAATTCTCAGCACAACCCAATTCACTGCACCTACCTCTATCCCGCGTACCGAGTTTTTCACGATCCTAACGTTAAATCCCTCAAATAACTCGCGAACCATAGATCTTATAAATACTGCATATTAATCGACAATTAAGAGCGACGAGACAGATGACTAAAATCTTGTTATTTTTTGCAGGAAAACCCAAAAACACGCGGTAAAAGATCCCGCCACCCTTCCTAGAACCCTAGTATAAATACCTCATTTTATGTACCAAGAAGGAACTAGCATACGATATCCTTCCTTTGTGTCATTTGGCTTACAAGAGATCAATCTTATAGAGGAAGGCCTACATTTCACTTACCGGAGCACGAAAATCCGCCACGTTTTGGAAACCTACCAACATGGATAAGGTCGCGAAATCGATATCACGATCGAAATCTTTGTCGTCAAAGCATCCGGCTAGTCAAAGTTGCATCCGATCCACTCTGTTATAGTTCGTCTGCTACATAATTCTTATACGAGTATACGACGGTATTCTCTATTTGTAGTCGCCGACGAAATATGTATCTCCGGCGAAGAGAGCCAGACTTGAACCGGTTCTACTCGCCCCACCCACGCCTGGTGCTGACGTCAATGAACCAAAGTTGATACAGGAGCCTAGTGGAAAAGGCAAAGCCTAGACTGGATTAAAAAAGGATGTAGAGAGCACGGTAATCATTATTTCTTTATGTCTCGAGTCTCGACCACAACGTTTTGATTTGTAGAGATATTCATCCAGTTATCCTTATTTTTGCAGGCTGTTCTGGAATTTAAGATTGATTCGCATGTTGACTACAACGACGAGGAGGTCAATGTAACGCATTACATTTATCTATCCAGTCTACCACAAAATGAGCTCTTGGCACAAACCTTCCAAAACACGTTGACCAGGAAGGCTTTGTGGACCTTATGTCCCCACTCGTTTGTGGATGGTGAGGTAAGTTTTTATTTGAGCAACAACATTTGCTAAATCGTTTGTACCACTTACGTAGAAAATTAATTGTTCATACTCCGTTGTGTTATAGATTATTATGGCTGTATCCGCTCTCTTTATCTTGGAACAAGTCTGGATGGATCACGAACACAAAAAAGGAATATGCTACTTGCCAGCTGACCTCCAAGTACACTAGGAGTAACATTGTAATGGTTACTTATGGCTCCCTCACTTCTTATCTAGTTGATTAGGTTTCTGGTATGCATTTTATACGTTGTGGTGTTATTCCTATACATTCAGGCCTATTTCAGGATTTATGTGGTTTCTTTTCTGGATTTTCTGGTCTAGTTCATTAGGTTTAAGGACTTCCTTATTAAGTTTGTGGCATACTTCCTGTTTTCTGTGAATTTACTTCAACTTTCATCTGACTCCATCTATCTATGTTAACTATTTGACGCATGAGCAGGAGCTCGCTACTAGCTATTGCTTTACATCTAAAAAGGCGTTGGAGCCGTACGAACACACTTTCCTTACGCGGGCAGAGAAATGCGGCAAGGTTGTTTCTTCTTATCCCGTGCTCTCCTACGAATGCCTAGTGCATGTACCAATATGTATAGGTCGAATATGGATTAAATGTTTGGTCATGTGTAGGTGTGTCTTCCGATGAAGGATAGGCGGCATGATGGGAAGGAGCACTGGTACCTGGCTATCATTTTCATCAAGGAGCAAGAATTTCACATCCTTGATTCAAGTCAAATGTGGAAAGAATGGTGGAGTTATTAAATCGTGTGTGGTTCTTATTAATCATCCATCTGTGTCTGTGTTTTTCATTACCAATGCTTCATCAATTGTGCAGATTGCGTTTATGGATTACTTGTGGCAGGCTATGTACCTTGAACGCGAAAACACATGTGAGCCGCTGAGATTTATAGATTATACGTACACAAGGCCTACTCGCCAAGAACAAATGGACTAGTAAAATTGTTTCTTTATGCGTCATTTCTAAGGCGTCCATAGGAAATGGTTTCTCATGCACTGATTTTCATCTTTTGTAGGTCTGATAGTGAGGTGTGGGTGTGTTGTTGGATGATGGGAGCATCATTTGATTCATTTTTCATATGGGTGAGTCATGCGCTAATGTTCTTATTCGAAGCAAGCAACGAAACATTTTCTAAGAGTTGGTGTAACAGTGCATAAGAAAAAGATGTTGATTTGAGCGGAAGTATTACTACCAATATGCTTTTGTTTTTTGGAAACCTTCGGAAATAAGTGAAATCTAAAATTTAACAAATAAGGCACAAATGAAAATGCTAGTTAATTAAACAAAAAAGAAAATTCTAGTTAACCCAACAATAAAAAGGGCCAATTCCTCCTGACCCCAAGGCCTATAGAAACACAACTATCTCGTTATCAAATAACAAAATAGTTAAAAAACAAAACTATCTCTCTTGGTGAAGATGTTCTTCCCGAACGAAGTCTTTTCACTAGTCCTTGCTCGACGCATCCTCACGTGCTCCTTCTTGAATCATACGGCTCCTTTTGCGAGCTCTGGAGACTTGAGCAGCGACCTCCTTTGCATCGACGAGAACAACCTCTACTGCCCCTTCTGAAGGCCTACGTGGGATGACATAGTGCCTCATTATCAGGGCGGCATGTATAAGGACGGATGTTTCCTTGAAAATATAACCATCCAGAAGAATATACAGATTGGCAAGCAGAAGGCTTATGTATCCACCAAAGGGAAAACTCCCACTATACTCGTCACTACTTGCTCTGATCATGCAGCCGAAAAGCAAGTGGGAATAGTCAAGCTTGCGTCCAGCCAAGGCATTGGAGATCACCCAAAGATCAAGCTGATTGACGACATCAAGCGACTCGCTGCCGGGAAGAAAGACATGCGTGATGAAATAATGGAGAACACTATGCAAAAGATTGAGAGATGCAGTGGTGATTATTTCAGTGGGGAGTACAGGTCTTCCAAGAAGCTCGTCGTATTTCTCAATGGGATCAAATTTGTACGCAGCCATTTCTTGCTCATGAGCAAGGGGAAGGGCACCAGTGGGAAAGTTAAGAGCTCGACCTGGGCTTTCAGCTGTCAGACTAATCTCATGACCAGCAACAAGACTTGAGAACTCTAGAGATTCAATACCCATGCACTGCATGTTTGCATAGAAATACCTAACAGCGAGAGGACTCCTGTATATAATCACACACTGTCAATGAGAAGAAATAGGATTCACAATACTCTTTCATGGTATCAGAGCTCGTGTAAACTCCAGCGAGTCTCTTTTTTCTTCCTCTGCAAATTTCATATTTATCCCCTGTTCTCATGGCTACTGAATCCACAACCTCTTCTACCTCTTCTCCCTCCTCTGCCCATGTCTCCTCCTCTGCCACTGCTCCTATTTCTTTTCCCAGCAACCCCGAACTGTCGGTGAAGCTTACTCCGACGCATTACCTTCTGTGGCGCGCTCAACTTCAACCTCTGCTCCGATGCTCTCGACTCATGGGCCACGTTGATGGCTCTGTCATTCCTCCGCCGCCATCTATTGCCGATCAGCCCAATCCTGCATACACTCAGTGGTATGAGCGGGATCAACTGGTACAGATGTGGATCACCCAGTCTCTCTCTGAATCGGTCATGTCGATTGTCATCAACAAATCTACCGCTCAAGAAGCCTGGGAATCCCTTGCTCGTGTCTATGCTTCCGGGTTGCCGGTGGTAATTGGTCACCTTCGCCGCTCATTCAAGAAGCTTGCTCGCGGCAATAACTCTGCTCATGAGTATCTCCAACGAGCCAAGGGGTTGTTCGACCAACGGCACTGGGGGCGCCCATCACTGAAGCGGAACTGGTGACGGCTGTTCTTGATGGGTTGGACGAAGAGTTTCGTCCTTTCACTCACAATCTGGAGCTCAACTTCGGCTGGTTTCCTTTGAATACTTAAGCAGCCTCTTGGTGAGCGAGGAGCTCCAGCTCCGTCGTTATCAGGCTAATGGCGGCTGCTCTTCTTCTATGCAGATCTTTTTGCAGGTGTCCATGCTCGTGGTCGTGGTTGCGGCAGATTGCAGCACGGCCGTGGCGGCCGCTTTGCTAGCTGTGGCTACAGGCCAGGGGCCCATCCCCATAACCCTATGTATGCTAGCAGGCCTGTGTCTGCCGGGCTTTTGGGCTCTGGTCCTGCAAGCCCATCTGCCCATCTCATCCTATTCGTCATAATTGTGGTGCAAGGGGCTACATCCGGCCCAACTGTCCAAGCCTATCCTTTTCTCCTCTGTCCACCACTGCAGCTAGCCCAACCTCTTATTTAGCCCAATCCTCACATCCAGCTCATTCTTCTCAACAATGGTTGCTCGATTCTGGCGCTAACCACCACCTTACCTCTGATTTGGGTAATTTGGCTCATCACACGAAATATAATGGCACCGACCAAGTGACCTTTGGCAATGGTAATTGTCTCCCTATTTCTCATTCTGGTTCTTCTCGTGCTTCTCTCTCCAATTTTTCTTATTCCCTTGATAATATTCTCCGTGTCAAAATGCGCCTCACAATCTTCTTTCCATTAGTTCCCTCACTCGAACGAATCCTATTTCCATTGAATTTTTTTATTCTTATTTTGTTATTAAGGACCGCCGCACGAAATCTGAACTCTATCGCGGCTCCGTGGATGGCAGTCTCATTCGCTTCCGCTCTCCATCTCTCGTCCTACGACGCCTCATGCTCTCTCCGCTTCTCTTGATCTCTGGCATCAACGTCTTGGTCATGCCAATTTGAGAGTAGTGAAATCTTTTTTATCTCGCAATAAAATAAATTATCGTGATGATTCGACTTCTCTTTGTCATGGTTGTTCTGTTAGCAAGAGTCACAAACTTCCATTTCCTACTTCCACTTCTCATGCTTCTACTCCTTTGGAGCTTATTTGTAGTGATCTATGGGGTCCGGCCCCTGTTCTTTCATATGACAATCAATCCTATTATATCTTGTTTTATGATCACTATAGTAAGTTTAGTTGGATTTATTTTGGTCAATATAAATCTCAACTCCCACAAGTCTTCATTCATTTTCGCCAGCTTGTTGAAATTTTTTTTGGCCTTCCCATTATAATGTTCCAATCCGATTGGGGCAGCGAATTCCAAGCCCTCCAATCCTATCTTGCGAGTAATGGCATTATTCATCGTTCGTCTTGTCTTTACACTCCTGAACAGAATGGGTGTGCCGAACGCAAACACCGCCATATTGTTAACAATGGCCTTGCTATGCTCCACCAAGCTCGTGTCCCCCTCAAATACTGCCCTCTCGCGTTTGATACTGTGTGTTATCTCATCAATCGCACTCCCACTCCTCTTCTTTAAAACGCCTCTCCTTTCCAATCTTTTTTTCAACGCTCTCCTGATATTCTTAACCTTCGAATTTTTGGCTGTTTGTGTTACCCATGGTTACGCCCTTACACATCACACAAACTTGAGCCGCGGTCAATTCCATGTGTTTTTCTTGGCTACAGTAAGTTGCATAAAGGTTATCGGTGCCTCGATCCTACGACCTCTCGTATTTATGTGAGTCGTCATGTTATTTTTTATGAGTCCAAATTTCCATATACGGATCCTACTTTACCCTTCCCCGACTCCCCTGATCCATCACTCTTCCATTTATCACCTCCTATTTCCCTACCCACTGTTCCTATACTTCCCCTAATCCCATCACCACAACCCAACTTGCCCACTCCCTCTTTGGGCCTGCCTCCACCCTCCGACTCATCCCCACACAACCTGCAGCCCACTACCTCTCCCTCTCGTCCCACCTCCCCCGTTTCTTTAACCCAACCAAATCCTCCCACAACCCACCCCACCTCCCCAGTTTCTTTAACCCAACCAAATCCTCCAACAACCCAGCCAACCTCCCTCCCTCGGCCCACCTCCCCGAATCTGCTCGTCCCCATCAATCCTCCACCGACCCAGCCCCGACGCTCCTCATCCTCACCAGCTGCCCGCTCTCTCATCCCACCTAAACCTACTCGCCCTCTTCTCCAGTACCAGCGTAGACTCCCAGCTCCCTCCATTTCTCCAAATCGACCTGCTCTCACCCCTCTTCCTCCTCCTTCTCCCATCCCCGATCGACCAGGCTTCATAACATCCCCACGCCTTCTTCCCTCACCCAACCTCACCTCCCCTGCTGCTGCTTCTCCTCGACGGATTGTGACACGGTCCCAGACTGGCCACTTGAAGCCCTGTCACCTTCTCGCCGCCACTACTCCCACACTGCCTTCCACGGTTTCCCAGGCGATGAAGCCCCGCAGTGGCGATCGGCGATGACTGTTGAATTCGATGCCCTCATGCGGAATCATACTTGGGAGCTTGTCCCTGCTCCTCCTGGCTGCATTGTTCTTACAAATCGGTGGGTTTTTGCTATCAAAACCAATCCAGACGGCTCCATTGAGCGATATAAACCAAGCTAGTTGCCCGGGGTTTCCAGCAAATTGTCGGACAAGATTTTTCACAAACCTTCAGTCCTGTCCTGAATCCTGCGACTTTGCATCTTATTTTGGGGCTTGCAGTATCTAATTCATGGCCGCTACATCAACTTGACATCTCCAACGCGTTCTTAAATGGCACATTATAGAAGGATGTCTATATGCAGCAGCCCACAGGTTTTGTTAATCCTGACTTTTCGGATTATGTATGTCGTCTCAAGAAATCGATATATGGTCTACGACAATCACCTCGTGCGTGGTTCCACTGTTTATCCGAGGCTCTCTCTGCGTTTGGTTTCTCGGCCTCAAAGACGGACCCATCCTTATTCATCTATAAGAAGAGTTCGGCTCTCATGTACATGTTGGTATATGTGGATGATCTTGTTATTACAGGTACGGATGCATCTCTTATTCAACAGCTTATGGTCTTCCTCCGTTCGAAGTTTTCCTTGCGGGATTTGGGTCAGTTATCATATTTTCTTGGCCTCGAAGTACACCACACTACCGATGGATTAATTCTCAACTAGCGCAAATATATTCTCGAGCTTCTGCAGCGCTCTAGATGTCAAATGCCAACTATCTGCTTGCGGTTTGGTTTTCCAGCGATCTGCTCGCCCTCAACTACATGGGTATTCTGATGCCTCGTTTGCATCCTGTCCTCGTGATCGGAAATCCATCTCTTGCTATGTTTTTTTCTATGGTTCGAACTGAGTTTCTTGGTCAACTCACAAGAAAAAGGCGGTCGCGAGGTCATCTACTGAGTGTGAGTACCAGGCTCTTGCAACGTTGTCATCTGAAGTAATCTGGTTACAATCCTTGTTGGTTGAGCTTAGGCAGCCCACTCAAGCATCTCTGCTCCTCTGGTGTGATAATTTAGGGGCCACTTATCTCGCACACACATTGTTACGCGGAAGATTCTAGAGCATTCTAGAAGGATGCAAGTTTATGCATGCATCTTCCGATTCATGCACCAATGTACATGCATCCCCCTTTATCTATCTTTATTCATGCACCTTATTAATTACATTCATGTATGGGGCAAGTTCATGTATGGGGGGACTTCTAGGTTCGTTCATTTATGAAGGCCATGTACATTGTACTTAGTGGAGAGGATGCCTATATAAGCAGCCCTCTCCATCACTTTTCATTCATCTAGAAATTGAGAGTTTCCATCTCTAGAGCATTTCTCCATACTTGTGAGTTTGAGTGAATACGAGCAAGGCTAACTTAGCGCTATAATGAGTCTTGAGTGCTAAGTGACGCACGGCCAAGAGTTGGTTCGTGACAAGTGGTATCAGAGCCAAGGTCGTAGCACAGCAAGTGAGAAAGAACCTCGGAGAGATGGCTGGATCCGAAAGCGAGGTTCTCAACAATGAGCAACAACGCGGTCGTGAGGAGAAGAAGGATGCAAAAAACAGGAAGCATCGTGATAGATCAACTCGAGAGCCTTTGGTGGCAATCGAAGAGAGGCTCAAAAGAGCGGAGACGAAGATTGCCAAGCATACAACCATGTTCGAGGACATGGAGTCGAAATTCAATCAAGTCAGCGGAGAGGTGCAGACTTCGAAGGACAACATGCAAGGCATGGGCACTCGAATGTCAGGCTTGGAGGTGGGGTTAGAAGCTTTCAGAGACGAGTTTGTGACCATCATCACCAATGCCATCGACTCCTTGAGGGAGACCGTTCGAGGCCTGGTGGACGAAGTGAGGGAAGAATTTGACAAACTTAGAGGAGAGCTCAATCTCGTCAAACGAGTCATGGCTAACGGACCTGCCGCGACTCAATCTAGACCACGAGTAGATGTTCCAAGGCCGAAGAACTTTGGTGGGTCAAGGAATTCGAGGGAATTAGAGAATTTCCTCTGGAGCCTTGAACAGTATTTCAAGGCCTCGAACATCGATGACAATGAAGTCATGGTGCGCACCACCTCCCTTTACTTGGTCGACACGGCCATGGTGTGGTGGAAAAGGAGGCAAGGTGATATAGAGAGAGGTACATGTGTGATTGACACATGGGAGGATTTCCGTCGAGAAATCAAGAGGCAGTTCTACCCGGAGAATGTAGAAATGGAGGCTCGTGGAAAGCTTCGACGACTTACCCACACCGGCGGAATTCGTGAGTATGTCAAGGAGTTCTCGAAATTACTACTCGAGATCCCCGATCTGCCACACAAGGAGGCTTTGTTTGGCTTCCTTTTCGAATTGCAGCCTTGGGCAAAGTTGGATCTCGAGAGGCGTGGAGTGCAAGATCTTGCTACTGCTTTGGCAACGGTAGAGGCTCTCACGGAGTACAAGAAGAATGAGAGGCCGAACGAGTCGAAGAACTCGAAGAGCAAAGGAGGAGGAGATCATCGGCAGCACTCCAAAGAAGGAAAAGGCTCGTACCAACATGGAGGCTCGAGCAAGGGAGCAAGATCTGGTAACTTTGACAAACCCATGTCTTGTTTCTTTTGCAACGGTCCACATAAGGTGCGAGATTGCCCAAAGAAGAGCAAGCTAGCAGCCTTGGAGAAACAAGAAGGGGAGACCAAGCAGAATGCTAGGGAAGACGAAGGGAAGATAGGCTCCATGTGGAGGCTAGGCGCGGCGAAGTCCGGCGCCAACGAAGTTAGCAAGGGGAGATTCTTTGTGATCACCCAATTCGAGGGAGGCGAGTCAAAAGCATTGGTTGACACCGGTGCGACCGACAACTTCCTTCGAGTGGAGGAGGCGGAGCGCTTGGGGATCGCTTACGAGAAGAGGCAAGGACCGCTCAAGACCGTCAACTCCGAGGCAATACCCATCCATGGTTTTGCCAAGAACATGCCATTGAAGATCGAAGGTTGGGAAGGTATTGCCGACTTTAGCGTCATCACTATGGATGACCATCCGATCATTCTTGGCGTCAACTTCATGGAGAAGGAGGGCGCGGTGATGGCAATGAAGTCCAACACTCTCTGCCTTGACAAGGGAGATAAATTTTGCGTGGTGAAGATGTTGCACGAAGAAGGGCCGAAGAGAGCTTTATCGGCCATGCAATTGGTGAAGGGAATGAAGAGGATGGAACCCACGTTCCTTGTCACTTTGCGAGCGAAGGAAGAAGGAGGCTCGGTGGCGCCAACACCTCTCATCGAGGGCGTGTTGGAAGAGTTCGTGGATGTGATGCCAAAGGAACTACCAAAGAAGCTCCCCCCAAGAAGAGAAGTCGATCACAAGATCGAGCTTGAGCAAGGGGCGACGCCACCAGCGAGAGCACCTTATCGCATGGCCCCTCCCGAATTGGAGGAATTGAGGAAGCAACTCAAGGAGTTGATGGATGCTGGCTTCATCCAATCGTCGAAATACCCCTATGGAGCACCCGTGTTGTTCCAGAAGAAGAAAGATGGTTCGTTGCGGATGTGCATTGATTATCGAACTATTAACAAGCTCACAGTGAAGAACAAGTGGCCAATCCCCAATATTGGCGACTTGTTTGATCAACTCGGAGAAGCAAAGTGGTTCACGAAGCTTGATCTTCGCTCGGGGTACTATCAAGTGAGGATAGCCGAGGGGGACGAGGCGAAGATGTCATGCGTGACAAGGTATGGCTCATATGAGTTCTTAGTTATGCCTTTTGATCTAACCAATGCTCCTGCTACTTTTTGCACCTTGATGAACCAAGTATTCGAGCCGTTCTTGGACCGCTTCGTGGTGGTGTATTTGGATGACATCGTGGTGTATAGCAACAAACTCGATGAACATGCGGAGCACTTACGGCAATGTTCCAAGTCCTTCGAGACAACGAGCTCTACGTCAAGAAGGAGAAGTGCACGTTTGCAGCCGCGAAGGTTCCTTTCCTCGGCCACATCATTGGCGGAGGCAAGCTAAAGATGGATGAAGCCAAGGTGGAGGCGATACAAGGATGGGAGCCACCAACGAGGGTCACCGAATTACAATCATTCCTCGGCCTGGCCAACTATTATAGGAGATTCATCAAGGGATACTCCGCTCTTGCAGCACCCTTGACGGATCTTCTAAAGAAGAACAAGGCTTGGGAATGGTCGGATCGGTGCCGTGAAGCATTTGAAGCCTTGAAGGATGTGGTGACGAAGGAGCCAGTGCTAGCACTTCCCGATCCAACAAAGGCGTATGAAGTGCAAACGGATGCTTCCGATTTTGCAATCGGTGGAGTGTTGATGCAAGAGGGGCACCCAATTGCATTTGAGAGCCGCAAGCTCAATGAGGCTGAGAGGAGATATGCGGTGCAAGAGAAGGATATGATGGCGGTGGTCCATTGTTTGAGAACGTGGAGGCATTACTTGCTTGGGTCGAAGTTCGTTGTAAAGACGGACAATGTGGCGACGAGTTACTTCCTCACACAGAAGAAGCTCACGGCCAAGCAAGCAAGGTGGCAAGATTTCCTCGCGGAGTTCGACTTTGTGCTGGAGTACAAGCCGGGGAAAGCCAACTTTGTTGCCGATGCTCTTAGCCGAAAGAGCACACTTGCCGCCATCAGCCAGCCGCAATTCCCCTTGAAGGAACGGATTAAAGAAGGCCTTGGGCACGACCTCTTTTCCAAAACCGTGGTCGAGTATATCAATCAAGGGAAGACTCGGCGGTTTTGGATGAAAGGCGGACTCATCGTGACCAAGGGCGAGCGAGTGTTCGTGCCGCGGTGGGACAACCTACAAAGGGAGATCATGAAGGAGTGCCACGACTCCAAGTGGGCTAGTCATCCCGGCATCGAGCGCACACAAGCTCTCATAGAGGAGGCTTACTATTGGCCTCGTATGAAGGACGACGTGGAACTCTACGTTAAGACTTGTCTTGTTTGCCAGCAAGACAAGATGGAGCAGCGTAGTCCGGCGGGCTTGTTGGAGCCATTACCCACTCCACAACGGCCTTGGGAAAGCGTTAGCATGGATTTCATCATCGGCCTTCCCAAAGTCGAAGGGTGTGGTTCCATCATGGTCGTCGTCGACCAATTTTTGAAGTATGGTGTCTTCATCGCGGGGCCCAAAGACATGACGGCCGAGGATGCAGCCCGCTTGTTTTTCAAGCACGTTGTGAAGTATTGGGGCATCCTGGTTAGCATCGTCAGCGATAGAGATGGTCGCTTCACCGGCAAGTTTTGGAGGGAGTTGTTCAAGATGATGGGGTCCGATCTCA